ACCCCCCGCCCTGGGATCGCGACGGGGGCTGGGGATGGGGGGGTTAGGATAGGGCCGGTAAAAAGCAAAAAGAGAAGTCATCATAATTAATGAATGTCATAATTAACCCTAATTATGTATGATTGTTACTCCTGCGGGAGTCACAATGAATAAATTATTCCCCAGCGAAGTCAGGCGGAGCCCAGACTCCAGGCGAGGGAGAGAGCGCCGCTCACATTCAACGCGCCCCCCTCCCACCTCTCATCTGTTTGCTCCCTCCCCAAGTTCTAGGTGCTCACAACTGACCGCAAGAAGTTCTGCGGGAAGCCACCTGAGCCGGCCTGGGGATGGGGAGCGAAGAAGCTCAGTGTCAAGGGTGCTCCCGACCCCCTCTCCAGACTTCAGGCCAACACCTCCTCCTCTCTCCCTCCCACCTTCTCCCTTCCATGAGTATTTTGTTTCCACCCTGCTCCCATTATCCTGATGAGAAAGGAGGCAGTGAGGACCAGAAATGGATGAGATCTTTGGCTCCCCCTGGGTATCTCTAGTTCATCTCTAGTTCTCTCCAATGCCCATCTTCCTCCTCATCTGTCTTGACTACCCCCACAGGATATAAGGTTAATTCAAGGTCAAGGTCATCAAGGGAGTGACCAGGGGAAGATGAGTAGGACCAGGGTGGAGTCTGGCTGAGGCACCCCAGGAAGCTCCCCAGCCCTAAACCAGGGGGACCCAGTGGGTCTCCATGTCCAAGTCTTCAGGCATACACTTGACCTTCTCCTGCTTCCTTCCGAGAATGAGACCCTGGGCTCTCAGAGCACAAAGTTAACTCCCCCTCAGAAAAGTCAAGTATCTACTGGGAAAGGAAAGAGGTGTTGGGGTGGGAGGTGGGAGGATATTGCTTGGAAAATTTGTGACAACTTCTTTCAAGCAGAGGATCCCAGGAGCTGAGCCCCATCCCGAGTTCCAAGGCCCTTGACCATCTCAGTTGCCTCTGGTCACCCTGGACAGACACACACAATCCCCCTCCTCGCTTCCCAGGGCCTTGGGAGCCTCCCAGGCCCTGCCCTGCTTCCCACACCAAGGCCTGGCAGCTCTACCCCTTCCTTAAGAGCTCTCCACAGGCCTGCAGGGGTGACAGCAGGCGGGAGCCCTGGGCAGTGCTGCCTCAGCACTCAGCAGGCTGCAAGCTCAGCTGTGTGGGGAGGGGGAGGTCTGTGCCTGACAGGTTTGTACCTCCCTCCTCCCGGCCCAAGGACCCTCCAGTGCCGTTACCCTGCGTATCCCAGGAGCAGGGGAGGGGGAAGAGTGCATGTCGGACCTGGCGCCTCTGTGCCAGACAGAAGAAACTTCTGTCTCCAGACTGTAGGAGTGGGGAGAGGAAAGGAAGAGGGATGGTTGCTGCCCACTCAGCTCAGTTTGAGGCAGGTACAATAGAGGGGGCTGGTGCCCATCAGGCAGTGAAAGCGAACATTCCAGGCTTATACATCCGTGTTTGGGGCCCCCTGGGCATTTCTTGACAGCCCAAACCCAACCTTCTGCCCACATTCAGATTGGGTCTCACCCCTGCATCCAAGCTACTCAGCCACCTTCCTAGTGTCAACATCACCTTTTTCTGGGTCCCCATCCCATACTGCCATATAGGGCCAGCCATCACCCCCTTTGGTGACATCCTTGGGAAGACCCTGCCATGCCTGCTCTGCATCTGAGTCAGCTTGTGCCAAGTGCACCACCACCCACTGCCAGCTGCTTAGTGACCTTTCAGAAGCTGGCAGGAAGTGATGGGGTACTGTAGGGAATTAAGGAAAGAAGGGGCCATCTAGGGTATGGGGAAGTGGGAAGGAGGCAGGCAGGCCAGGCCCTGCCTCTGGGAGTAGATTCAGAAGAATAGGCCTGGTGGTTCAGGATCCAAGCCAGACAAGTTCCTGGTGCACTGGGCTGGAATAGGATCCGAGTGGCCCAGCTGACCAGGGTACATGGCAACTTCTCCCTGTACCAGGGAATGGATCCTGAGACAGTGGGAGCAAAGAAAAGATAGCTGGTGGGGAGACGGGGAAAGATCATCTCTGGGAATTAGGAGTCCCAGGAAGGGGAATACCTGGCCAGGCTGAGCCAAAATGAGGTTTGCGTAACCAAGCCAGATGTCTCTGGAGTGGGCACTCATCAAACCATGTATCAGGGGGTGACCCTTCCTGCCCTCCAACCACATCCTTCACATCTGCCAGCCACCTCAGGTGATATCTGGGGCCCACGCTGAGCCAGGGAGTCTCAGGCAGAGTTGGGGCTGCCCTGGTGCTGGGGAACATTTTGTTCCAGAGGCCTCTGGAACCCTGCAGAGTTGGTTCATGTCTCTGAGGCCAGGAGGCCACCAGGAAAGAGCACAGGCTGGAGAATAGGGAGTATTACAGTAATCCTGTGAGGATTACTATGAAAATAATGGCCTTGGGAGGGGGAACATGCTTGATGTCTTAAAATATCTGAAGGGCTGATATGTGGAAGAGGGAGTAACCCTTTCTGGAGCCAAGGGAGGAACAGGGGCCCATAGGCAAAAATTGCAGGAGGCAGGTTTCAGCTCTATATAGGGAAGCACTTTCCAGTGATCACAGCTGCCCAAAGATGGAATGACTGTCCCTAGAGAGGGTGTGCCTCCCATCACAGAGGTGACTAACACAGTCAACCATTCTGAAGGGATGTGCAGGGTGATAAGGTAGGGACTGCTCTAGATAGCCAGTCTTTCAAGTCCCTTCTAACCCTAAATTGTATGACTGACCTGGTAGACAAGCCCATAGAGCAACTGAGGGGCAGAGGGGAGGGCAAGGCAGAGCAGCAGGATGCTCCTGGTCACTTGCGCTCAACAGCTAAAGCCACCGGTTCAAGTCCTGGCTCTGCTGCTCACCAGCTAAGGACTCATGATGAGTAAGTGACTTAACCCCTAAGAGCCTTAGTTCCTCATCTGAATGGTGGGGATAATTGTCACCACCTCAGAGGGTAGTGTCAGGATTAATGAGATGCTGCATATAAAGTGCTAACTCACTTCTAGGCCACTGACAATGATGGCCCCTCTTTGTATCCATAAGTTTGTGTTTTTGCTTTTTGGACCCAGAACCTTGCATTGCTCAGAGAGCATGCAGTCCTACCTCTTTCCTCTTGGATGTGGAGAAACAGGTTAGAGAGAGGCAGTAAAGTGACTTACCTTTAGACAGTAGGGTTAGTTTTAGTTTTGCCCCTACCCCCACCCCCAGCATATCTTTCCAGAGACCTCATGTGCTCTATGTCCACGGCCCCTGGGCAGTAGTTGGTTCATTTGCCTCTCTGGGCCTGGGAAAGTCCCCAGAGCCACATTTGGCCCATAGAACACATTTGTGCTCTAATTAATTTTCCCTCTGGCCCTCCACCTCTGCCTCAACGTGCAGGCATCTGGGGCCTGGGGCCCCTATTCTCATAGACACACAAAGAAGCCCACAGTGCTGTCCAGGAAGCTGTATTTGGAAGGAGCTGGGCAATTCAGTGTGCCAGACACCCCAGGCTGGCTTCACAGCTGGCACTGGCACACCGGGCCTGCCTTGTGCCCAAACATCTCCCTCTGCTCCTCCCACCCGTCTTGCTGCCTGCTGACCTCCCAGGGCTGGAGGGGTCACCACTTCCATCCTCTTGGCAGGGTTGCCAAGCTGGCCGCCATAGCACACAGGCTGCCTGGTGTGCCAGCTGGGAACCCTGGCCAAGTCTCCTTGTCTGAAGCCGGGCTTCTGGCCCCATTTTCTATCACTGATGGAAAGGAGTGGGCAGGGGTAAGAGGGCTCTCAACTGGAGGGGAGTGGGGCAAGGACCTGGGTAGAGAGAGAGGATTCCAGGCCTAACTCTGGGCAGACTCAAAAATGGTATATTAGGGTGAACAGTGGGAATAACCCTGGCCTCCCTGCAGAATCCACCCTACACTCCAAAACCTGGGCTCCATTTAGGATTCCAACCCCTTGCTCATTTATTCAACAAACATTGACTGAGCACCTACTATGTGTGGAGGCCCTGTGTCAAGAATTGAAGCAACTGTCCCTGCCCTCAGCTCACAGCCTCTTGGGAGAGAATGACACATAAACCGGATTGGAGCTATAATTCAAGTCAGTACTGGGCACAATGGGCCCCAGAGGAGGGAGTGGTTCCACTAAATGGAATTTCTGAGGGAGAGACAGCTTCCTGGGAGAGGAAGAGTCACTGGGAATCCTGAAGGGTAGAGGGTATTAATTGGAGGAGGCAGAGGAGAGGACAGACAAGTCAATAGCTCAGAGGCATAAAATATGGATAAGTTGAAGTCCTCCTGTCTGGGTTGTAGGCGGAAGACGTGGGTTGGAAAGGCAGATTCGGCCAACTTGTGGAGTCTCGTGTCTGCGGCAAGGGCCTTGGCTGGGTCCTGAGGAGCCATGAAAAGTTTTTAGCAGGGTCAGGGGTCACCTCTCTGGCAGCTGCATGGAAGCAGGTGGAGGCAAGGGGTTGTGGCCCTGACTCAGACTGGGGGTGCCGGTGCCTGAACTAGGGCAGGGCTGTGCAGGTGATAAGGCAGTTGGAGGGGATGGGCTGGAGAGGTGTTTCAGAGTGAAAAGCCGCCCTGAGGAGGAGGGGTGAGGATGACCACTTCCCCACTCCCACCCTGTTGAAGAACACAGGTGAAAAACTGGGGACCTGGTGTGTTTTGTTCGACCCCCTAAGTACTTTTTAAAAAAAATGTATCTTTTACTGATTTCAGAGAGAGGAAGGGAGAGGGAGAGAGAGAGAAACATCAATGATGAGAGAGTCATTGATCAGCTGCGTCCTGTACGCCCCCTACTGAGGATAGAGTCCAAAACCTGGGCATGTGCCCTGACTGGGAATCGAACTGCAATCTCCTGGTACATAGGTCAATGCTCAACCGCTGAGCCACGCTGGCCGGGCCCCCTAAGTATTTTTTAACTCAAGTAAATGGTATACCCATACAATGAAACTCTGTGTAGCCATAAAAAAGAATGATGGAACTCTTTATATATTGGTATGGAATGATTTCCAAGATTTACTGTTAAGTGAAACAAGCAAGGTACAGAAAAAATAGTATACTGCTATTTCTGCAAAGGATAAAAAATGAAACCTCTTAAATTTCTTTCTATTCAATTCACATAAAAGTCTAGATTTCTTTTGAAAAATTGAAAAACCTGACAATAATGGGCTGGCCATACGGACTAACCTCAATTGGCTAGAGGAGACCAGCAGCTGCTCCCTGGCTGTTCAGTTTGCCACAGTCCCCACTACTCCTGATTAATGCCTGTCCAGCCAGAACTCCTTTGCTCATGGAGGTTACTGTAGGTATCTGGGATTGTGACCCACCTTCTAGAATTCGGCAGCCTTTCTCTTAGGATTTCATCTCACTCCTGGTCTCCAGGCTGCCGCTGACCAACAGAGATATCCTGGAGGGGAGCCAGCATCCTCTGGGGCTTCCACTCATAGCCCCTCTTCCTCTTTCAGCTCCAGCGGTTCAAGCGCTCTCTTTCCCTCAAGACCATCCTTCGAAGTAAGAGTGTGGAGAACTTCTTCCTTCGCTCAGGCTCTGAGCTCAAGTGCCCCACCGAGGTGCTGCTGACGCCCCCAACCCCGCTGCCCTCTTCCTCCCCACCACGGGCGTCCACAGATAGGGGCCTGCCCACCCCAGCACCATCCCCCTGCCCCGTCCCACGCCCCCTGGCATCACTCAAACCAGTGAGGCTGCACAGCTTCCAGGAACATGTCTTCAAGCGAGCCAGCCCCTGTGAGCTGTGCCACCAGCTCATTGTGGGTAGGTGCCTGAAGCGGGCAAGGGGATGGGCCAAGGTGGGTGTGGGGAGTTGGCCTATGGAACTTCCTGATATCCATGGCTCCCAGTTCTAACTGTGCCCCTCACCCTGGGCAGACATACGAGCACTGTTGGAGGTGGATGGCTGCCCAGTATTGCCATGTTTGCCAACAACTCAGGCTTCAGTGCCAGTTCACACCCTGAATGTATGAGGGGTAGATACTGTCCCAGAGGCTGGTATAAGGATGCCCAACCCCCTGCTCTGTCCCCACCCCCTAACCTGCCTCCTTTGCTCCATTGCCCATGGATGTGTCCTCTATTGACCAACCTCTCTCTGAACCCAAATTCTTCCCAGGAAACTCCAAGCAGGGCTTGCGGTGTAAGACATGCAAAGTCAGCGTCCACCTCTGGTGCTCTGAGGAGATCTCCCACCAGCAATGCCCAGTCAAGACAGTGAGTTGAGGTGGCTGGCAGAGAGCTCCCGGGACTGGCATGTGGGGGAATGAGTACCCCGAAGGCTGGTTCCTCATGTTGGGTTGAGGAAGGCCAAGTACTCCATGGGCTCTGACATCCTCATGCCTTCTCTCTGCTCCCTCTTGCCACAGTCTTCCTCCTTCCGTCGCAACTTCAGCTCCCCCCTCCTGGTACATGAGCCTCCACCAGCCTGTGCCACAAGCAGAGAGTCCCCACCCACTGGTGAGTATCCCCCTGTTGCTCCTGATCCCACTGTGATGTGATGAGAAACCCATGCATTCCTCATATGGGCACCTGCGGACACTGGCACTGCCACCACTTCCCTTCTCTGGGTGCTCCTGTCCTGAATGTAGGGTTCATTCATTCCTTCATTCATTCATCCTTCAACAAAAACTTTATTAAGCACCTACTAAGTGCCAGGCATCATGCCAGACACAGGGACATAGCACTGAAGAAGGTGAAGTTCATGGCCTGTATGGGAGCTAGGCGTGAAGTGGATACTCACACCATTAATCAATTAATCACCATTCGGATGAATGCCTAAGACAAGGGTAGGGAATAGAGGGGAATAAAACAGGCACCGTCCTCAACCACGGAGACTGGAAGGCATCCCGGAGACGAGAAGGGTGGGGAGCTCGTCCGCTGAGGATCTGGGGAAGACTGGTATGGGCAGGGGGGGTGACCCAAGGCAGGAGGGACAGTTAAAGGAAGGACAACATGGCTGGGACTGAGGGTGTGAGAGTGAGTGTGACAGGACCGTGGGTGCAGGGTCTTGGGGTCCATTTTAGGGTCGTTCTTTGGACTTTATTCTAAGGACAATCTTCGTGCTTTTACAAGAGCATTCTGGCTCTGTGTGGATTGGAGGGGCTGGAGTGGAAGCAGAGAGAGCCGTTGGAAGGTTGTGATGGTTGCCAAGAGAGAGTTTGGTGGCTTGGACCAGACTGGTAGCAGTGGAGATGGAGAGAAGTGGGCAGATTCTAGAAACATTTGGGAGGTAGGACTAAGTGACGGACTGATGCGGGCAGTGAGGAGAGGGAGGGGTCAAAGATGCCCCAGGTTTCTGCATCGGCTCCATGGGGGGACATGGAGCTCTCCCTATGATGAGGGAGAATTGGTGGGGCAGATGAGGGGAGGCAGGAGCTCAGCCTCCAGTTTGCTGAGGGGGGGGGGCAGCCAGGGCTGCGATACAGGGCTTCAGGGCTGAGCGAGGCTGGCAGCTGGGTGCCTGGCCTTGAGGGTGGATCCTTGGCAGGGGCCAGCTGGAAGGTGGACCCCATCTACGAGACCCTACGCTATGGCACCTCCTTGGCACTGATGAACCGCTCCAGCTTCAGCAGCACCTCTGAGTCCCCCACACGGAGCCTGGTATGGTGGGCACCAAAGGGGAACCGCGGGGGCAGGGGTCTTTGAGGATGAGGGTCCAGGGGCTGAACTCTCCCCTCTGTCTGTCCCCAGAGTGAGAGGGAAGAGTTGACTGAGGATGGAGAAAGCAGCGTCCGCAGCTCTGAGGAGGGCCCAGGTGACAATGGTGAGTGGGGGTAGGGACCAGGGGAGGAAGGGAACACAGTGGGGTGGCTTCCTCCTGCCTCACACCCTGGCCCCACCCTGGCATCTACAGTATTCACAGCTCCCACAGAGAGCGAAGGGTCAGGACCAGAGGAGAAGAGCCCTGGACAGCAGGTGAGCTGATGCTGGCACCAAGGCCCAGCAGGCCAGGTGGGAAAGGGATGGCACTTCTCCTTGTCACTGCCCCACAGGTGGGTGAGAGCGGGGTGAGTGGGAGTATCACTGCTCCGTCATTTATCCTCAGTCTACAGGGACGGGCAATGCTAGGGTGAGTGGGCACAGGGGGCAGGGGTGTTACCCCTCCCACCACTGACCCAATGCCTATTGTACCCACTCCTGTTCCCCAAGGGTGGGCAGTTTCAGGGTGCAGCAGGCAGTGGAGTATCCCCCTTCTCCATCCTGGTCCAGTCCCTCCCTGGGGTGTGTGAGCACAGCAGATAGGAGAGGCTGACCTCTCCTTATCCCTGACCCAGGAGCATTGTGTCCCACCTCTTAGCCCCCAGGTAGCAAGGTTAGGGCAAGTAGGTGGAGTGAAGAGGGTGTCACCCTCCCATCACTGACCCACAGCTCTTCCACAGCCCCCCAAACAGCCCCTGCGGAAGGACGTGGGGCCCATGTACTCCTATGTTGCACTCTACAAGTTTCTACCCCAGGAGAGCAACGACCTGGCTCTGCAGTAAGTCTTCGTGCCCAACCCCACGGGCGGGTGGCCACCAGGCTCCAACCTCAGGGCTCTGCGCTCCCAGGCCTTGGGACATGAGTGTGAGGGGCCCTTCAGGAACTTTCTCCTGGCAGACTTGAGGCCGCTGAGCCCAGAGTCCAAGAGGGATTTGGTGCTGATGGCATGGCTCCTGCCTCTTGCCCCAGCTCTGTCCTAGAGAATGTCAGCTGTCCCTGTGGGCACAGTGTCCTCCGTCTGAGGGCATCAAGAATTCTCCTTCAGCTGAGGGGGCCTGCAGGGCATCTGGGGGCCCAGGGCTGTTGGGATGCAGAGAGGGCGAGCCCATCCTGCCCCCACATGCTGCCCCAGCTCTCTCCTCCCAGGCCTGGAGATCGGATCATGCTGGTGGACGACTCTAACGAGGACTGGTGGAAGGTGACCTGGCAGGGTGGGAAGCGGAGGGGCCCTGATAGGCATCTCACCAACCCCTGCCCTCGATGGGCACCGCCCCACCTTTTCTCCAGGCCCCAAAGACCATTCCTCCTCCAGCCACTGGCCCTAGCCAAGCCTAGGACCAACCCTCAGACCTTGCTCTTGCTTTGACCCCCCAACCCCGCCTCAGCCCTGTCCCTCTGCCCACCTAATGCCCTTTCCAATGCAGAAGCCACTTGACTGGGGGCTTGAACACAGAGAACCCAGAACCTGGCATTATCTCTAAGTGGGCACTGGGTCTAGAGAAAGCAGTGGGGGGTGGCGCTGGTGCTCATGCCAGCCTCATCCCCAGGGCAAGATCGGCGACCGTGTTGGCTTCTTCCCAGCCAATTTTGTGCAGCGGGTGAGGCCAGGCGAGAATGTTTGGCGCTGCTGCCAGCCCTTCTCCGGGAATAAGGAACAAGGCTACATGAGCCTCAAGGAGAACCAGGTGCGTGCGGGGCCCTGCAGCCGTTAGGGGTCAGAGGCGGTGGGACTGCAGGCCCTCTAGTCCTCTCCTGCTGGGATCTGGGGTTGGTGGCCACAGGCAGGGGGCTGAGTTACATTAGAGACAGCTTTGAGGAGAAGAGGAGTACTGGATTAGGAGTCCAGAGGCTTGGGTTTGAATGCTGGTTCTACCTCTGGCTTGTTGTGTGACCTTGGACAAGTTCTTTTCCCTCTCTGATATGGGAGTGGGGCCACATGGGACCAGCTGATCTCAAAAGTCAGCCCCAAAGTGCTTCTCTGTGTCTGCTGATGTCCTGGTCCTGCTGCTGCACCCTGCATCCTCATGGGATCTGCTCCTATCACCCCAGCTGAGGTCTGCAACCACATCTGATGCTGGTTTCATCATTCCCTGGAGCGGGCCCCCGGGGAGCCATCAGCAGGACTCAGGGCCAGGGCTGCAGGCACTGCCAGGCCTTAGCTCCGTGTCTCTCTGGCTCAGATCTGTGTGGGCGTGGGCAGGAGCAAGGATGCTGACGGCTTCATCCGCGTCAGCAGCGGCAAGAAGCGAGGCCTCGTGCCAGCCGACGCCCTGACCGAGATCTGAGAGGAGCCAAGAGAACCCAGATGTCACCCTTGCCTGTGCCTGGCCCTTGCTTCTGGTCCCCGGAGGAGCAGGCATCTGCTCACACTCTTCCTCCCTCTGCCTCTCTCCTAGGGGCCATTCACCATGGCTTGGGAGGCTCCTGCACTCAGGAAGGTTTCATTTCTTGGGTCCCAGCGTGTCCTGAGAGACATGCTCCTCTGGGACTTGGGGTTGGGGGGTAGCAGAAAGTGGGAGGGAATGGGGAAGCTCCAGGTAGGCCACCCAGTGCCCAGGCACCCCTAGCCAGGTGGCCATGCTGAGTCTAGCCCCGAGAGGCATTCTTTGGGGAACTTCCCTGCTGCTGCTTCCAGAGAGCCTCCCTGCGCCCACACCAGCTCATGCCGTACCAGCTTCGCATGACTGACAGCTCCCTCCCCACAGCCTCTGCTTGGTCTGTGTGTGTGACCGTGCTGTGCTGCCCCTTTGGAAGTGAGTGCCTTCCCGGTCTCCCAGCCCTTTGCCCTGGGTTGGGAGGGGATTCAGGGCTCTGGGAGGGTCCTGAGTCCACTTCCTGGTCTCACTGCCTCTGTCACTCCATCAATTCTCAGGAAAGTTCTGTGGGAATCTCTCCCATTACTTGAAACCTGGGCGGACAGAGGAGGGGAGGGCTGAAGTCTGGGGAGGGTGTGTGGCAAATCAGAGACTGTTCCCTTGAGTAGAACAGTCACCACAGAGTAGCCTCACCCTACCCTTCCCCACGGGAGAAGGACCCCCAAGAGCAATCTGAACACAGAAACCTGATTGAGAACAAAAACACTGGCTCATGCTTGGTCAAAACAGCCCCCATTTCACTGTCAGGACTCTAAAAGCCCCCAGCAGCACGACCAACAGCCAGGTGAGCCTTGACAGGTGGCCCAGGAGCCCCAGCCTCAGGGCTCACCTCCAAATGGCCCTTCCTCAACCCTCTCTCTGAGCTCTGCAGGCGACAGGGCTGCTGCTGAAGGGGTCCCTTTTCTGGCTGCATTTGCTCCCTTGTGCTGGACACAGAACCCTCGGAGGAAGAGGGAATGAGAGACAAGGAAGGTGGATCGTTGTCTGGCCACCGGAAAGAAAGGGAGTAGGCACCCTGGGGGGAGGGAACACACACAAAGAAAACCCCTCCCTTGCATTTCTCGGGTGCCAACCTCCCTCCTTTCCTCAGCTCAGAGCCTCCTCTTGTGCCCTTGACCGTGCCAGTGGATGCCATCCCCCATCCTGGGCACAGTCATGCCCTCCCATGCAGTGGGAGGGACACATCATCTATCCACTGGCCCCTGCCCCACTCCCCCCCTCCACCCCTCGCAGAGGGGGACTCAAGCCACACTGCCCTGTTTGCTGCCATGAGGCCCCCTCAGCAATATCCCAGGGGCGGCCCAATGCCCACTGTACATAAGGCTGCATGATCATCTGCTGGGGCACTGCTGAGCCCCCAGACTCTAATTAAATGTTTCTTGTCCCCACCTGTCTGCTCTGTGTATCTGCTTGGGATAACAAGGGCAAGGAGGGGTGGGGGCTGCAAGTGCTGGAGGAGGCAGGCCTGAAGGTGGGAGAAGTTGTTGGTCTCTGAGAGGGGTGTTGAGGCTGACACTGAAGGGGTCCCCAAGCCTATTCACTCCCTTCCATTTGAGCACCTCAGATGTGGGACCTGGGAGGTGTTTGAGAGAAGGGGCTGGGGAGAGTCAAAGCAGCAAACATGGAAAGGGCCCGAGGAAAGGGGGCCGAGGGTTTGCGGACGCTGGAGGGAGAGACGGCGGGGCTGCGGCCCCGTTTGGCTCCGCGCGCCCCTGAGTCGCGCAGGGGGTGGGCGCACGCCTCTGCGCCAGGACGGTTCCTGCCCACCCAGCGGTTCCCTCCGAGACCAGCCGTGTCCAGGGCCCGGGGGGCTCGATGCCCACCCGAGATCAGCTTCGCCCCCGCAGCCTCCAAAGTCCGAGGCACAAACGTTGGCGGCGGGGACAGTCGTGGACAGTGGGGCCCTGAGATGACTCAGTCCCGCCGGTTATCCGGAGCCTGGCACGGAGCTCGAGGCTCGCCGCCCACCTGCTCCGGCAGAAGCGCGCCTTTCCCCTCCGCCCGCGGGCGGCACTGGGAGCACGTCCTGGGCTATTTATAGGCAGAGGCGAGCCCGAGCCAGCTAGAGGCGGGCTGAGGGGGTGCCAGGACCAGGGGTGCTGCGATAATGCAGCGGGCGGGGGACCTGCTCCTCCCAACAGGCACTCACCCCGTCTGCTCTCCAGCCCCCCACCCCAAAGCAAGGTAGGCAGGTGGGATCAGGCCCTGAGCTTTCTTTGGGTCCCTTCACCCAAGGAAGGCCGAGCTGATGGGGGAGAAGGAAGATGACTTCCCTCTTCCTAGGACCCCTGAGGGTGGGAGTGATAAAAGGGGTCACAAATCCAGTCCAGAGGCTTAAAGAGAGGGAAACTCACATAAATAGGCACCTACTGTGTTCCAGAACCAAGCCAGGAACTTAATTTATTTTATTTTATTTTTTATCTTCTCAGTGAGGAAAGTGGCAGTGTCCCCTTTTCACAGGCAGAGAAACTGAGGCCCAGAGATATTAGACGGCTTACTCAAGGTCATAGAGATTATCTTGCCCAACCTTGCCCCTTTTATACATGGGGAAACTGAGGCCCTGATGGACTAGTAACTTGCCCAATGTCACCCAGTGAAATAGTGGTCAAGCCACTCAGAAATCGTATCTCTGGCCAGTTCAGCTCTTCTCCCACTGGACCCTGGGTCCCTCAGTGCCTGAAACCAGCAAGTTGGAAACAGAGACACCCTGAGATGTTGGGCCAGGAGCTCCAGGGGTCAAGACTCCACTCTATCCAAGACAGTGAGAGCCTTTCAGCCAATCCTCCTGCACACCCCACTTGCATCTGCCACCAGCCAGCAGCTGGCCTGGACCCACGCCTCATCCCCAGCCCATTTGCTGCACTGCTGAGCACAACAGCTTTTTCGGGTGGCTGAACCACTGACAGCATGCTCACAGCCTGAGGGCTGGGAACAGCTGGTGCCCTCACTATAGCCTCTGCCTTCCTCTGTGCCCACTCAGGGGGTGGCTGGACCAGCAACACCATTGGCCTGGGGCAGAGGATGCCCAGGAAACTGCCGGTGGTGCCAACCCACCATTTGGCCCTGTTTTCTGACACACATGTCTGTCCTCCCACCTCAGCCGGAATTTAACTGTGTGGGGACAAAGTTTACCTAGGTTTAGGGGAGATGCAAAAAGAGGGGGAGCCAGAGACAGGAGGCCTAAAAGGGTAGAGAGGTGGGAGGGGGAGTCACAGAGTGAGCCCCTCCATCCAATCCCACCCCTTCTGCTAGCACCAGCTACTCTCTCTGCCCCCTTCAACCTTCTTCACCCCCCTCCCAATGCCTGGGACAGGCTGGGGCGCCTGCTGAGGACAAGGAAGGCAGCAGCGTACTTCCAGACTCAGCCCTTCCGGAGCTTGCAGGGAGCCAGCCTGGGTGGTCCCTCTCAGCATCAGAGGGCACGGGAAGGAGCCCAGGGACCCTGCATCCCTTTTCTAGCTCATGGCCCTGCAGCTGCCACTGTGTGCAGTGCCTCTGCTGCAGCCCACTGAGTCACACCCTCCCACGTCTGGAAGGAGTCAAAGATGGATGCTCGTGTTTATGCAATGCTGAGATTCCGGGGAATAGTTGGCCCCTCTGGGCCTCAGTGGAGTTGGACTTGCTCTGGGAGTCTTTACGTGGGGGCCATGAACCCCTTTAAAGGGTATGCAAAATTATGTAATGGGGCCAGTTGTATACGCTTGAGAGAATGGACATATCTTTTCATTGGAATTTCATAAGTTTCCAGGACCTGAAAGAGATCCAGTGACTACTTTAGGGGATCTGCTTGCTGGGGGGCCTTCCCAGGCACTGCTCTGGAAAGGGGTAGAGAGAGGTAACTTCCAGGCCTGGGGTTGGAAGTAAACTAGGGGGTAGGAGGGTGGCGGAGGGTATAGGGGGGATAGTGATGGAAAGAGACTTGATTTGGGGTGGTGAACACAATACATTGTACAGGTGATGCGTTGTAGAGTTGTGCACCTGAAGCCTGTATAATTTGATTAACCAGTGTCTCCCCGATAAATTCAATAAAAGGAAAAGAAATACATAACTAAACCAAAGCTTCCCAAGAGATAGGCTCCCACAACCCATAACCCTTCCCTTCCCCCAAGCCCCCTAAAAACAGAAAGTGAGGCAGTTTTCTGCAACGACCTGCGAGAGAACAGCACCATCTCCTGGTCCAGGGTGGAAACTGGCTTCTGTGCTGCAGGCAGGAGCCCAGGTGTGGGCCCCATGTCCTTACCTTACTCTCCTTTTCCTCCCCCTACTGCCTGAAGGGGGTGGGGGTGGAGTGGCCTCCAGTGCCCTTCCTCTTCTGGTCCATGACTGAAAAGGAGGTGTCCCATGCTCTAAACTGGGAGCTTGGCCAAGACCCTTCCTCTTATAGGCCACAGCTTCCCACTAGAATGACAAAGGATTAGAGCAAGAGCTAAAAAATTAAGTGCACACAGGCAGCCTGATTTGTGGAAGCCACAAACCAGTGCTCTCATCCCAGGCTCTGATGCATGTGGGTGGTGGAGGACCTCTGGCTATTTCTCACTGAGTCTGGGCTTCCTTGCATTGGGCCACCCACCTCCGCAACCTTGTCCAGACAATGGAGGCAGAGCTGGAGGGTCTGCTGCCCCCAAGACTACTTTAGCCCTGCCTTTCCCACACAAATGCAGGTAAGAGTATCTGCCAATTACATCCCTGAAGGCCAATTGACTTTATAATGCTCCCCTCAAACAAGAACTTCTCAGGAGAGGGGTGGAGGGCAGGAAGGTAACCAGGACCGGCACATCAGGGGCTAGCTGTGTCCCAATATAAAGGCGGTGGCCCCTTATATGCAAACTTCCTCCCAACCCAGATCCCACTTGACATTGCTGTATTTAACTGGCTGACTAACCCCCTCCACCTGGACATATGCCCTTCAA